TTGTGACGGGTTTTGGGTTGTTTGGTCTTTCGGTGCTTCGGGCGTCATGTTCCGAAACCCTGCCAGGAGCCGAGAACAAGGAGCTCCGCGACGTAGATGATCTAGCAGGCCCCTCCGAAGGACTGCATGGTTCGGGTTGAAGGTTTTGGAGTTTTGGGGTTTTGGGTTCATACAGGCTTTGGGGCTTCAAGGTTTCGGGATCTGGTGCGTGTTTGGTGGGTGTGGAGGGTTTGGCGCCCGGGAACAGAGCAATGGCGATTCGACCAGCCGGCAACACGGAGCACGGTATTGTGATAGCCAGTGACATTAATGTTAATTCGATTGCCTGGAGATTTTGTTCTTAACTTTTTGCAGGCAGTAAAACTCCTCACTGAACTTTCCGGTGGTTGGCGGTGTCTACATGGTCCGGCGAAAGGTGTTGTGTTGCGCCCGCTGCACCAGGCGGCTGTCAGTGGTGTTTGCTAGGACCCTAAACCCGAAGTAGAGCCCCTGCTTCAGCAGAGCCGTGCCGGTGGTTTGACAGGAGCTAGCAAGACGGAGGGCAAGGGGATCGTCTTCAATGCGGATGACGACTTCCTGGGAGGCGACCGTGTCTCAGAGCCCCACAGTATGACGCAGGGGTCGGAATCATGAGCAATTAGCCTTCATTCTCGTCCGTCTAGGCTAGAAGGCCCGGGATAGTCCCTGGACCCCTAAACCCTAAACCCTAAACTGCCCTAAGCCACAGGGGTTTTAGGGGTTCAGGGGTGGACCTAAACCCTAAACCCTAGTCCTGCTTGCAAGTTCGGAGGCGGCGCGGCAGCTTCGACGCTGCCGGACTTCTCCGACTTGGACCAGCAGCTGCAGGAGGCCGCATAATGTAGGAACCTTAAGTAATTAGTAATTTTAGGTTCCTTGTTCTGCGTAGTTGTAGTATAATAATATATCCCATAACCCTATCATCTATAATTATTAGTTGGGTTCCTTTTTCTAGTTAGAGTAGAGTATACCCCAAAACCCTATTAGTAGTAGTTACCAGGCCCCTACAGTTAAAGGGGCCTTAATCACTCGATGGTTTAGGGATGCCTGTACCCAGAGACTCCAAAACCCCTTAATTAAGGAATATTCCTTAAAATACAGTAGGATCCCTAATTTGATTTAAGGAATAATCCTTAATTAAGGGACATTGGAGTCTCTGGGGTAGAGCTCCAGGCCCCAAGGCGCCTTCGTGATTTACAAAATCAAGCACAATGCGAGTCCTCTAAACACGAATCTACATGATCCTTCAGTTTCGGTATGGGAGTTTCCGAAAATTAGGGGTAGCTTATTTTGGGGTCCTGATTGATGAGGATCCTACTATTTAGGGTATTATACTAGGGTCCCCTATTTTTTCGAAGCTCTTATATCGTTGCTGAGGTTATGTTGCGCCCCTAAACCCTTAAGCGACTCGCTTAGGACGACTACCCCTCTGCTGGCTATGCGGCGCCCTCCGGTGGCCTGGTGGTAGCCGAGGCCCCGGACACGAACATCGTGAAGACGCGCACCTACGCATCTTGGATAGAGTCCTGCGCTTTCGTTTTTGTTGTGTTTAGGATGTGACTGGTAGGGCTGTGGGGATTATGCCTTGATGGATTGTAGTAGGGTTGGAAGGGTTCAGGTAGCTATGTGTAACAAAGTAAGTGTAAGTGTAAGTCTCTGTGTGTGTGTGTGTGAGTGTGTGTGCGTTTGGTGCTTGCATCGGTCGGTGTCGGTGTCAGGTGTGTGTGTGTGTGTGTGTATATATATATATCTCGGCAGGCATGCAGGCAAGATGCATCCAATATATGCAAGTACGATCCTGCGCATTTTCGTGGGTGGATCGATCGAGTCCGAACACGCTGCCTGTGTCCATAAAATTGACCGTTAGGAAAGACGTACAAAGTCATGTTTGGGGGATGCAGCGGCTATCAGATTTGCATGGCATGCGTAAGTCTGCCGTGCGCGGTGTCAGGGAAGGCATTGTGTCCGGCCGTGTCTACCTCAGCTCAAGTCCCCAACATTTTTCGGGCCTTCGGGTTCCAGTTCTTTTGCGGGGATCAGACCCAGACCCTGTTTGCCTTGTCCACTCAGTTTTTTCGGCGGCCCGATGTAAGGATTTGTCCATCACTTACGACAAGTATTACCGGACGCCCAGACTCTGGCTGTTCGGCTACAACGAGCGGGGGGACCCCTTGAAGCCCGAAGAGGTTTATGAGGACGTGCTTAGTGACTACAAGTCCAAGACGGTCACTGTGGACCCTCATCCTCTCACCGGTACGCCAACAGTTTCCATCCATCCCTGCCAGCATGCTCAAGTCATGAAGAAGGTGATTCAAGACTGGATCGAGCAGGGGTTAACCCCCAGGCACGACCTCGCACCTTGTCTGCGTTTGAACACGTCGTGGTACGCACGAGCCGTATTCCACCACAGCTGAAAGTACCACTAATTGAATCAGTCATGGTGACAAGCGTAGGGGTAACTAACGTCGCTGATCGCGACCGCAAGAGGACGACAAAAACGAGTAAACGGACACGTATGTGATATGGATAGCAGCGCTGAGGCCCAGAAAGGTGTTGTGCTGTAGATTTTGGCACCGCTGCATCTGCCCTAAACTGCCCTAAGCAGTGGAGCCCGTGGCCTCAGAGTCCAAGGCCTTGTTCGTGTTCCTCAAGTTCATCTCCAGTGTGGTGCCGACCATCAACTACGATTTCACCATGGAAATCGAGTTCTGATCTTGCCCTGTGCTGACCACTCAGCTTGAGACAGCGAGTCGCTTCAGGCGACCCCTTCCTAAACCATCCTAAAGACTAGCAAGATTTTTCTACATCCGGAAACCCCAAACCCCTTCAAAGCGAGAGGGCAGCATGTGGGAACCTTGTGCATAGCATTCGGTACTGGACCCAACTTGGGACCATCACACGAAAGTCAAATTCGAAGCACCTCAGACAAGAAGGTGTCTGGCGTAAGCACAGGCGTCAGTGCAGGGAAAAATGATCATGGATGGCAATCTGGCATGTTTTCAGTGTCTTCCACCGGTAGAACATGGTAGAACCGTCAATGTTCCCACATGTGGGCATATGCTCTAGCAGAACAGCAGCATGCCATCCCCACAAAATTCGAGTGTAGCAGGATTGCGGCTATGCTGTAAGAATAGTCTAGAACTAGCATGACGAAGTCATCTACGGCAAGCTCCCAGAATCTTCCCAACCACCCTAGAAAACCCAAGCCGTTCATAGAGGAACACAGCATAGGCTACATTGAGGGGTCGCTTTGTAGCCTAATTAAGGTAGATATTGTACCACGGGTTTTTGAGTTTTCAGGGTAAGGAGTCAACACCCAAGAGCAGTACAATATTCACGGCGCAAGAGAGTACAAAGTCCTCGGACAGTACACATCCGAAGCTACCCTAAGGCTCCAAAGTAGTTCCTTTTTGGGGTTCATATATAGAATCCTATAAGGTAATCCCAAAAAGGAACTACTATGGAGCCTCTAGGTAAACGCTACAAGACCCCGAAGCCTCGCACGCCGACAAGAACTCACCGAACCGCCGAGACTCCGCGCCGCCACGCCACCGCAGACCGAAGCCCCAAGCCTCAACTGGTAAGGCAGGGCAGAACATCCGAATTTTACGCGCAAGGTCACCCATCACGAAGCCGCACGAACCCGGAGCCTTCACTTGCGAAACCCCGCAGCCGCAACACATCGCCCCCAAAATGCATGTCAGGCGCCATCCTTCATAGGCGCACGAGGCTTCGACATAGCAATAATAATAACAATCATCATCTTGTTCATAGTAATAGTAGTTGTAACAGTCGTAGTAGTGGTGACAGTAATCTAATAGCAGTAGTGGTTATAATAAAGATAGTAACACCAGTAGCAATGAAGCTAGTACTACTACTCTTCATAGTAAAGCCTCAGGCTGCTCTTGCGCTTCCTGGTCAGTGCTGGCCGCAGTGGTCGGGCAGCCGCAGTGACGGCACTGAGGCGAAGTGAAGCTTCGGGTGTTTAGGGTCGAGGGTGCATGATGTTCAAGCAATATAGGAGTTCCCGAAAGCTAGGGGTGGGGCCTCAATAATGTGAATAGGATTCCTTTTAAGGGGTCCTTTAAAGGGTCCTATAAGGGATCTATCATACGGGTCTATAGTATAAGGGGCCTCAACAATTACCAACACTATTTTGGGGGGTCGTTGTCATACTTGTAGTAGAATATACTCCGAAACCTATTCTTATTACTAAGGCCCCTATAGTATGGCTCGGATTTAATGTATAGGATGTAGGGACCTGTCCCCATAACTATAGTAGCATCAAATTATTTTCAGGTCTCAAATATTTCCAAGTACCAACTAACCTAATCGGAGAGTAGCTTATAGCCGGGGGCAGTTTACAGCTGCCCATGTGTTTCCGAAGTATTTTGGAGGCAAACACCTAAGACCCTAAAACTCTCGAGCCCCAAAGAAGCCCTGGCAGTAGACCCTAAGACCCTGAACCCTAAACCCTGTGACCCCAAATCCTAAACTTCCTGAACCCTAAATCCTAATCCCCTAACCCCTAAACCCTGTGACTCTAATCCTAAACCCGAACAAAAATTGTGGGCTCCGTGCCTGCAGGAAGAGCACCGGGCGAAGCCGAAGATCGGACGATGACTGGCTGCTCGGCTGAATGTGGGTGGTTGTCAAAATTAGGGTCCCTTTCTGGGTCCCTATTATAATACGGCACGTAATATTTGGGGTACCCAACAAGAGACCGTTATTTTGAGAACTACCCATATGGGGGTGTAGAGTTCAGAGGTTTGGTTGACATGTGGTATCAATTCCTGCAGCTACTCACAATACAATTATACCAGAAGGTACCCTGACACCCGGTTCTAAGAAATAAGTCCCTGACAAAGCGACGAACTCCATGAGAATGAAGTTCGCCCGGTCCGGCAATGAAGCCCTGCACTCCGATTTGTGCTAGGTTTTTTTTTATCGGACACTTTGTCCCGGGCAGTATTGCAGTGCAGGCACCGCGTGATGGACTACGCCATTCACCACGGCTTGGTGCGCTTGGAGATCTCGTTTGGTCCGGAGAACCGGCAAAAAAGGCACAGCCAGCTCGGATCATCGCAGCTGCCATCTGAAACATCCTTCTTACACCGGTGCTCAAGATGTAATTACTAAGTTACTACTGTGGTTGTGGTTGCGGTTTTCGTTGTTGTGGTGGCGGTGGTGGTTGCGGGTGCGGTTGCTGTTGCTTCTGCTGTTGTTGTTGCTGCTGCTGCTGGTGTTGTTGTTCTTGTTGCTGGTGGTGCCGGTGGTCGTGGTGGTGGTGGTGCTGCTGCTGCTGCTGGTGGCGGTGGTGGTGGTGGGCCACCATCGCCACCAACCACCCACCACCCCAATGCGCAACCACTACCACGAGCGACAAGAGCCTACAATAACCAACAACCAACATCAAGCAACACCAGTCGACGTCAAGCAACACGAATCGAGATCAACCGACACCCACAAACGACAAGAAAAATACATGCAGGCAACAGGCCGCGGCGGCAGCAGCAGCAGCAGCAGCAGCAGCAGCAACACCGCCAACAACAACAACAAGACCCGGTAACGTTGTTGATGATGAGGCTTATGATGGCTGTTGTAATTTTCCAGATCGCCGCATGCCTCACTCCCATGATGGTAAAGGGTGCTATCAATCGCAGATATGTAGGTTGCTTTTGCAAGCGGTGCTCTCGTGGAGGAAGGCATTCGCCAGCCCGCAGCTCACCGATGCAGGCATTGACCCACATGTTTTGAAGTGATCAGTCATTCGCGTTGGTGGAGCAACATACGGATACGTGGTGACTTTCATCACCGTGTTGCGTTCAACAGACCATGTTGGAGCCTACTTCATATTCGTCACCCTGCATCATGCCATGTAGTCCTACGCGGCTGATACTCTGTCGCGGTTTACTCTGATTACCCTCAGGCCTCAACATCATCAGCTATTCCTACGGTGGCATGGTCTATACCCTGAACCTTCAATCTCAAACTGTTAAACCCTCAGACCCAAGATCATCGAGATTGTGCCTGGGCTTAGGCTACCGAATCTTCCCAAGCACACAAACGGATTTTTGTGTGGCTTTGGCTTTGGGATTTTCTGAAAATTCCTCAGGTTCCCACAACGAATTGCTGCTGCTGCTACTGCTCCTGCCGCTGCTGCTACTGCTACTGCTGCTACTACTAGTAACAGTAGCAATATAGCTACGATGGTCATGTTTTGAGTGTTGTGTTCTGAGCATAACCTCAGCAATAGTAGCAGTAATGTTAACTGTTAACTAAGATAATAGCAGTTACTATATCGAATACTGAGACAACGATAATACTGGCGATGGTGTAAGGACAGCAACAATCATCACAACAGCAGTACATACTGAGTCTGTAAACCTTACCTTAAACTACCATCGCCTAATCCCTTGTAGGTTCTTATTATCAGCCTAATAAGGAGTGTATCAGGGTCTTATCGAAAACTAGGTCTTGGTGGTTCAAGGCAAGCCCTAAATAAGCCCTTGTCTATATTTGGTCAGGCCAGGCCTGGCTACAGACGGGTCCGCGGCCCTTCTTCGTGGACGGGGCCCCGGCCATCTTGAAGAGAACAACATTTAAAGGGCTTAGGGTGGTAGGGTTTAGCACTTGGGGCTGTAGGCCTGTGTGGCTGGGTTCGGATGAGGGTTGCTGCATGTTGCTGCGGCTTAGGGTCGTAAGGTTTCAGTGTTTCGGCTTCAGGCTTGTAGGGCTTGGGGTCTAGGGCTTAGTGCTCAGGGTGCAGACTTTGGGCTTGTAAGGTTTAAGACTCTCTAGGGCTGAGGGTTGTAGGGCTTAGGGTTTAGGATTTGGGGTTTAGGAGCAGCAGCAGGAGGAGGAGGAGGGGGGTAGTAGTGTCGTAAGTATGTAGTTGTAGCAGTAGTAGTAGTAGTAGTAGTAGTAGTAGTAGTAGTAGTAGTCGTAGTAGTAGTAGTAGTAGTAGTAGTAGTAGTAGTAGTAGTAGTAGTAGTTTAGTAGTAGTAGTAGTAGTAGTAGTAGTAGTAGTAGTAGTAGTAGTAGTAGTAGTAGTAGTAGTAGTAGTAGTAGTAGTAGTAGTAGTAGTAGTAGTAGTAGCAGCAGTAGTAGTAGTAGTAGTAGTAGTAGCAGTAGCAGTAGCAGTAGCAGTAGCAGTAGCAGTAGCAGTAAAGTAGCAGTAGCAGTAGCAGTAGCAGTAGCAGTAGCAGTAGTAGTAGTAGTAGTAGTAGTAGTAGTAGTAGTAGTAGTAGTAGTAGTAGTAGTAGTAGTAGTAGTAGTAGTAGTAGTAGTAGTTTTAGTAGTTCCAGCAGCAGTAGTAGTAGCAGTAATAGTAGTAGTAGTAGTCGTCGTCGTAGTAGCAGTACGTATTAGTAAGTAGAAGTATTTGGCAGAGGATGTTGAGATCGAACGCATACACTGAGATCAGGTGTGGGTCTCTGTCCTGTTGCGGCATTATCATTTAATGTCCGGATGTTGGCACACCTCACCCAGCTTTTCAGCCGGTACTTCCACTGTGGGTTCGCACCGAGGATTTCGGACATGCAGCTCCAGCAGGACGGTGAGTGGATGCTCGACGACCTAGATAAGTCCTGTTACATATGAGATAAAGCCATGTTCTAAATTACAGAAGTGTATCAACAGGTATGACATTGATGACTTAGTTCCTGCTCTTAGAATTTCGCAGCAAGTTCAATGGTTTGCTTGATGATGGAATCTAGAAGAATGTTACCAACTCTACAAAAAAGCTCATAACACTTCTGGCGAAGGGAGAAAACAGTGTTTGCACTTCAGTTGTTTAACAGATAGTGCAATTCAACGGACTGATTTTTATTGTGCTTTTGCTTCCGTGTTTGCACGTCTGGGTGCAAAGTTGTGTATGTGTGCGTGTGGTACATGTGTGTGCATGAGTGTGTTCCGTGTCTGTACACGTCATGGTCATGTACCATGTTAATTCCCGACCATACCACATGTCATAGCATAACATATCAGACGGCACAAGCAAAGCATGCATCATTTTTTGTGTGTTGTCGCGTATTTAAGATATTCATGGACATGTTTCTTCGGTGAACCCTCTTCGTTTTAGAAACTATGTTGTTATCCTTATCTCGCGGATGCAGTCGACTTGAATCAAATGTTGCCTCTTGCGTTGTCACTGGCCCCTGATTCGATCGCATCTTGTAGGTTACCGACCTCGCAGGAGCATGACCTGCACAGTTCCGTTGCCACCACAGGACATCCCAATCCGGAGCCTGTGCGCAGTGAGCGCAGTCCACTACCGGAGACGCTGAATTCAGTCACGATCTCAGCAACCCGAGTTAACTACGCGATCAGGCCCTGTGCCCTTTTTTCTCATTGAGTGGTCCTCAAAAGTGCAGCCGCCCGACAGTGCAGGACAGCGGCGAATTGTAGCACCATGTTATCGCAATGTTTGCTTTCGATCAGATCGCTGATCCACCCTCTCCTGGCTCGGCAGGCGCTGAGGTGCGTTGAGGTTTTGAGAGTATAGTCACGATAAGTGTTACTCCAGTGTAGGACAAGTCTTGGTTCCCTGAAAGTCTGCAAGCGACTTCTGACCTGAATTGGGCAGCATGGCCTCAACTGCATCTCTTTGACGCGAAGACTTTGTACAGTGGAGCCGAGTCTGCTGATCCTAAACCCCAAGTCCCACGCTTCAACAGCTCAAAGCAACCTACTATTACTATTCCTATTACTGTTACTATTACTATTACTATTACTATGACTATTAGTATTACTATCACTATTACTATTACTATTACTATTACTATGACTATTAGTACTACTATCACTATTACTACCCAAAGCCGACATCCGTGGAGGCTGTTGTAGTCACGGACGACGATGAGGAGATCGACACACCTGAAGATGATCGGCCGCTGACGCACCTCCAGGCGGAACAACATGTGCATATTTAGCATCACTGTATGCATGTATATATGTATGTATGTATGTCTGTCTGTATGTCTTGTGGCGGTGTATGTGCGGTTCTGTATGCATGTATGTATGCAGGAGTTCGCACGTGTAGACAAATTTGTATTGTACATGCACACGTTGTTGTGTATATCTATGTGCGCTATATGTTACGTATGCACGTGCATAGGTCTGTACGTATGTTTGTATTGTGCAAACTTGTGCATGTACGTATGATTATGTCTAAAGGATCATGTGCATATATGTGCATGTGAACGTTTGCATCTGTGCATGTATGCCTTTCCTGGCTGCCTCCCTGCACGCATGCATGCATGTGTCAAGGCAGCAAGAGGGTTCATGCTAGGCATGTATCGCATAGGTGTCAACGTTCAGCCTTGAAACGTCAAGCTGCAGGCGCTTGTCGAGCAGCGGCGCGTGAGCTCGCAGCCGACCCCGCAGCGTCAGCGTAGGAGGCGGCTGGCATCAGATGGATTCGAAATCAAACCCCTATAGTTGTTTCATGATTCGACACGCCTTTCGACGAGGCCTAAACCTAATCCTCAACCCAGCAGCCCTAGGTGGCCCTAGACCGGAGTGTGGGTTAGAGCCAACTTCGGTCAGGTTTGCTGATGATGCTCCCGAGGCCGACCGGGCTGCCGGGTTGGTGGGGCTTTCGAGCTTCAGAGTACGATGAGGAATCCCCATTTATTTAATGTTTTACACATCGTAGTGTGCTTTTCAACATATCGCTATTCTACATCTAGGCCCACGAGACGTGGTCAAGGTGGCCGCGCAGGGCGCGTACGTCGGGAGTCCCCCTGCGCAGCTCCCGCTGTGGTGCGGGTGGGATTTTGTCCAATCTTTGCCCACGACCCTTCCGACCCCGTTTCGCAGAAAGCAAGATCCATTGCGAACTCCAATACATGCGCCATCATGCGTCACTCTTTGGCCTCGGAAGGTTCGAGTAACTAATCGTCGTCGTGTTCTGTCGTGTTTTGGGGTCCACGCCGCCATAATTGTAATTGCAGTACGCCATCTTGTAACGAATTGAGGAAGTTTATAAACTAGATTTGTTTTAGAGCTTGGATGTGTCCTGGCAGCTGGGTCTCTGCAGCCCGAAGAAATCATGCTTCTAATCCGAAGTGACACAGTGGTATGTTGTGAACTGCTCTGGGCTACAATTGTTCCTGGTACCCTGTAAACTGTAAACCCTGAGCCCTAAACCTCTTTGTGTGCTCCATGCTCCATGCGTTCCGCTTACCCCGTCTTTCAACCCTCAGTCAGATCTTTCCAAGACATCAAAGGGTCTGAAAAACAACTGCACCAATGTTCCCTTGTTGCCTCTACAATCTCTACATCCATCTCCAAAACCATCCAAAACCTATTCTGAGAAATCGAGGCCCCCACGTCATGCCACGGCCTGTTCCTCGAAGCCCTAAACCCTAAACCCTAAACCCTAACCCTAAACCCTAAATCCTAAACCCTAAACCCTAAACCCCTCCTGCCGCCGTTACAGGATGTCGTGGCGTTACAAGGAGAGCTGGTGGCCGAGGCAGCAGCTGCTGTACAAGTCAAAGGGGAAAAGGAGGGACCCTTAATGGGGACCCCTACCCTATAATGGGGCTATATAATGGGTATATAATAGCTATATTAAGGGTATATACCAAGGGGTCCTCATTAAGGGTCCCTCCTTTTCCCCTTTGAATAAGAGCAGTCGGTGCTCCGTGGCTTGTGGGTTTACCTGTAGTCTCCATTGTAGGTCCTTTTTGGTGTTACTTTATAGGATCTTAACTATCGAATTGGTTAAACCACGAAAAGGAACTACAACGGAGACTGTGGGTAAGGTCTAGTATAAACCTCATAACCAACCTTACATTACAGGTTGCAGTATGAACCCTACAATACTAGGGCCCTACATTACAGGTATTATGTACCCTATAATATAACGGGTGTAGGGGACCGCAGTTTACCAGGAGCCACGTAATGTAGGATTACAACAACATTTTGAAATATATTATACTACTACCTACAATAAGGAGCCCCCAAAACAGTATAGGTAATTATTTAGGCCCCTATCCTGAACCCTAATCCCTATAGATCCCTTAGGCCTTAAGCCAGCCTTTCAGGATCCCTGCAAAGGAACCCGATTCTAAAGTTCTAATCATTAAGGCCCCTAATATAGGTAATTACTAAATTTGTTCCCTTTAAAGGAAGCCTGTTCCAACTATTAAGGCTATAATGTAAGTAATTGTTAAGGCCCCTGTATTAGAGCGCCTATGCTTCCGAGTGCCTTGGCCAGAGGTCGCCGCCTTGCAGTCAGTGCTCGCCGGACTGGAGAAGCCGAAAGCACCAGGCTGGGGTTTAAGGGTTTAGGGGTTTTAAGGTGTTTAGGGTTCTTAAGGGTTCTTAAGGGTTTGAGGGTTTAAGGGTTTAGGGGTTTTAGGGTTTTTAGGGTGTTTAGGGTTCTTAAGGGTTTAGGGTTTAAGGCTTTTGGGGTTTTAGGGTTGAGGTCTCCTTTTGATTGAAGGGTTCTATGTCAAAGGGGAAAAGGAGGGACCCTTAATGGGGACCCCTACCCTATAATGGGCTATATAATGGGTATATAATGGCTATATTATGGGTATATACCTAGGGGTCCTTATTAGGGGTCCCTCCTTCTACCCTTTGACTATGAGGATGTGGGGTTTGGCGGTTTAGGGTGTAGGACTCAGGTTTGGGGTGTCATGAGAAGCCCCGTGTAGACAGTCATTTTCCCGGCTGTGCCACTGTGCTAGGCGACTACCTGTGTAGTAGACGAGGCTGCAGAATACCTCCTTCGTAAGGGCGCGCCGCTCCCGTAGAAGTACAGCCAACATAAGCATAGATGCGACTGCACTGGAGTGGTTGGCGTGTGCAAACACATGCATATATTATTCCGGTCTGTGTATCTAACATAACTAACATAACATTTGTTCCTGTGTGTGTTAGTGTTTCTGCATGCACGTGATGTTTGTGTGTGTGCGTGTGTATGTATACATGTATGCATGTATGCATGTATGTGTGTGTGTGTGTGTGTTTGTGCAGGAGTGTAGGCAGGCACGCAGGCAGGTATGTAGGCAAGCCCAGACTACACACCTGCACATGTCCTACATGAGCTACTGTTTCCATGCGCTTGTCCCCAACCTTTCATTGATTTCTGACAGAAATTTAGAGGCACCTTTGCAGAGCTTTTGTCCCACAACCCCGACATCTCTATGCTGAAATCACGCTTCTTGTGTGAACCCATTTTTTGATGAGCCCCTGCCCTTAAGCCGTAACTTAAGCCTTAACCACTCTCGTAACCCGTAGCTCTTAAACCCTTCAAGCCTGCAACTCAACTCGAAAGCCTAAACCCTCAACCCGAAACCCCTAAACCCAAAGCCCTGAGCCCTTCTACCCTAAACCCTCAACCCTAAACCCCTAAACCCAAAGCCCCAAGCCCTTCTACCCCAAACCCTAAACCCCTAAACCCAAAGCCCTAAGGCCTTCTACCCCAAACCCTCAACCCTAAACCCCCAAACCCAAAGCCCTAAGCCCTTCTATTCTACCCCAAACCCTAAACCCCTAAACCCAAATCCCTAAGGCCTTCTACCCCAAACCCTCAACCCTAAACCCCTAAACCCAAAGCCCTAAGCCCTTCTACCCCAAACCTCAAGCCTCAACCCCTAAACCCAAAGCCCTAAACCCTAAACCCTAAGCCCTCAACCCTATCCCAGCTTTGGCCGCTGTCCTTTCCGATCTTCGGCGCCTGCGCAGTTCCCTGGAGGCGTTGTTTGAGGGGGGCCCTGACGATCCCAAAGGGTCCAAAGCACCTAAGTAAGGGTTCCTAGGGTTTAGGGTTTAGGGTTTAGGGGTTTAGGGTTTAGGGGTTTAGGGGTTGAGGGTCCTAAGCACTTCTATAGTAGCAAGTTGGGCTTCTGTTTTTGGAAATACTACTATGATTTGGGGAAGTATCGCCCTAACAGCCTAGGACCCTTTGCGGATGGTTCGAGGTTTGAATTTAACCCTAAGGGTATACTCCCCTGAATACTGAGCTACACAACTACACCCTGCACCCAAGTACCTAATTCTTGGGTCCTTTGGACCCTTGAAGTAAGATCGGAACATGGGTTCAGAGTTCATATAGGGTTTAAGTTGGGATGCAGAGGCCAAGCGGGCCTTTAGTTGTGTTTTCTTTGGGGGTGTAAGGAAGGAGTTTTAGGGCTTGGCGCCATTTGTTGGAGTTTTCTAGGTTTTAAGGTTGGTAGTTTTTGACGTTTGGGGGTTTTTCGGTTGGTCAGGGTGCGCGGTTTCATGCCGGCATAGCTTGCCCGGAAGAACCTTGATATAGGGGCCCAATACTAATTAGGAGGGTTCCTTATTACAAATATAGTATAATGGGCCCCAGAACACTATTCTAATTACTAAGGCCCCTATATTATAGAACCCTATTATAGATCCCCTATAGAACCCTTTAAGGATCCCTTTAAAGGAACCCTTATTCTAATCATTAAGGCCCCTATGTTAAGCCTCAAACGCCAGCTGTTCAGGCCGAGGCGCCATCTCCGGCGAAGCGGAAGCAGCGTCATTCCAACGGTACAGGTGCCTTACAACTATAGAGAACTATATACTGTAGATTAGCGCCTAAAGTTTAGGGTTTAAGGCCTTAGCAAAAAGAGTTGCCTTACAACAAGACAGAACTACTGTAGGGTTCCCGGGTTACTAAAGTTTAAGGTGTAGGGTTTAAGGCCTTAGTTAAAAAAGACTAGGGCTTGGTTCATCTGTCGTATGATTTGGTCCTAAAATCTGTCGTCCTAAGCCATGCTTAACTTCGCAGAATCCTTATAGGCTACGTTGAGGAATCTGAACGAAGATTGCGTATTGGTGTGTGGGCTTTGGGGTTTATGGGATTTTGGGGTCTACCGTTTTGTCGGATGTTCAGAGTCCCCACGTGGCATCTGAGAGAAGTTGCCTTTAAGGGCCTTAAAAGGCAGCGGCAAAGATTACTAACACTAAGGGTTTCATAGGGTGTTAGGTTTTTGCATTTTTTGAGGGGCGGGGGGCTTACAGCGTCTGCGATTTACGGCCGGGTGCATACCAGGTGTATAATAGTGCAAAGTAAGTAATTATGCTTTCAGTGGGACTACAAGGAAATGTTGCTGCTGGGGCTGGCACGCAGGACTTGGGGACGACTCAGTTTCCGGGTTCGAGATCCATGCTTCGTAGCCTAAACACAGAGATCGTAACAATTACAAGTAGTCTCCCCTTAAAAGTCCCCATGTAATTCAAGAGGGCGGCGGCGTGCTTTTCTCGAGGAGAGACGCCTTGTTCACGCTTGTTTTTTGTATGTTTGTGGTGCTGATAATAATTTTCTTATCGATGCAAACATACATGAAGACTTGTTACTTATGTTTATGCTACGTGTCCTGACATATAGCTACGATAATCGCTCACAGAGGGGAGATCGTCACACGAGCAATCTGACTGTGATGTAACTGCGTACGTACTATAGACACTGCCCACACATTTTAGATTTTGGACGTGCCACCCTTCATCTCTGTCATAGCCGGGAAACATTTTACATTTTTATGGATACTTAAACCAATAAGGAATAAACAGGTGCATTTTCAATCCTAACCCAACAATGAACTAGTCATCTTTTGTCAGGATTCGGCCCATCATCTCGAATTGAGGCATTAGGTTTGGGGCCCACTATCTTCCCTTGGAATTCAGGGTTTCTGGGATCGAGCCACGCTTTCTAGGATAAGCGGAGCCTTCAGGCTGATGCTTTCTACAAGTAGGGTTTAGGGGTTTAGGGTTTCTGGTTCATGATTTAGCGTGCAGCGTACTAGAGTGGACAACGGATCGAGCGGTTTTGGCTTGACCATGTCTTGGCCAGCTGCAAATCGTGTCATGAAGTAGAATCTCGGGGCCTCAATCAGAATCGGGCTTGAGCGGTCTATTTGTCTGTGTGTATACTATGTATGTATATAAGGAGAGTACAAATCTAAGAAGGAACAGTACAACACTTGTTGTTACTCAGGCTTCCGGACTTCTAGACATGATCTGCAGCCTAAACCTAAAGACCCTTCAGAGGGCTTCACGGGTTTGCGGTTTGACAGGCATCCGGAGTCCAAGCCCGCCAAGCTCATCGCGACCCGAGGCCAAGTGCCGAAGGACCCTGGGATTCTAAGGTTTCGGTCATTGTACCCCTTAAAGGAGCCCTAAACCCTAAACCCTTAATAGTACCCTTCAAAGGAGCCCTTAATAGTACCCTTTATAAAGGAACCTGGGCTCTTGCTAAGGAATCTAATTATTAAGTTACCGTAATAAAGACACCATATTCGATAATTTGGTGTAGACCCCTATTATTGCATTATATTGCATTCCTCAGCAGGACCCCAGAGAAAGCCGTAATTAGGGTTTAGGGAAGCTCCAAACTGATTGAGCCCGAAGCCTGTGGTTGGTGTAGTCTTTTTCAAACCTACCTTCGCGGCATTGAGTGACGGCATGGCACACACTCTGGAAGGCCGGGAAAACGTGGCAAAGCCTCAGAGGTCTCCTCCACATACCTGGCTCGGACGACTCTGCAACACGGCTCTGGCACTCTAGGAGCCATCCACAAGAACTCCAACCCTAAACCCTAGGTTAGATGTAAGGCTTCTTCTGGTGAAGTGTCGGCCTTCTGGCCGACAATTCCGAAGTTTCGCACGACGTGCAGAATTGACTCACCGTGGCCGAAAGCATCCGAAACCCCAAAGTCCCAGAAGCCAAAACCCTAAACTCCGCAAAAGCAAGAAACCGAAATTCCACAGCCCTAATCGATGGAACTTAAAAGCGCGAGCCTCCCAACATCACATTCTCTCATCTCTGCTTCCCTTTGTCGTAGATCCTGTGCTTCTTCGAAACAGTTCCGCCCCATCCTTGGCTCAAAAACAGAAGCCAACCACACCCCGAACCAATCAAGCTGCCATGAGGCCGGTTTCCGAATTGAAACAGGGGCTTAAAAGTTGCCCATACTTTTCTGCTGGGGTTCCGCATTATTATCTTAGTAGAACATAACCCCCAAACCTCAACTATTAAGGCCCCTAAAAATTACGGCTCCAAGCCAAGGAACCCTAGACCCCAAACGCCAAACCACCAAGGCACGTTTACAAATTCCAAAACCCTTTTGAACCAGGACGCTGCGAGCCGGGCCCTCTCGTCCAGAGGACCGGGTAGAATGTCGCTACCGAAGGGTCGATCCTGGGGCCCGTGTACGCGTGCGAAACGGAGTTTTTTTGGGAACTTGCAAAGTTTCATGTTCTGCGTGCTTTCGGCTCATAGTGGCTTCTATCCTCTGAGTCTTGTCGTGTTCATGTTATGAAGAACCCTGGACATGGGGGGAGGGGGAATCGGGATGGATGGGGGCTCTTCAGGCCCTAGCACCGAAGCCCCTGGAATAGAGTATCCGGCTCCTTACCCTAAACCCTAAAACCCTAAACCCTAAAACCCTAAACCCTAAACCCCAAAACCCTAAACCCTAAACCGGTTTGGGGTTCTCGCATCTCTCTCCGGCTCCGGTGCATGCGCCTGAGGTCCCCAACCCTTCAGTCGCTGCAAGCTCGCTCCCTTGTATAAACATCTAAAGTCTAGAGTTTAAGGGTGCTTGTATGTCCTTGCAGTAAGGACTTGTAAGGCTTTCATTTCCGGAGGACGATTAAGGTACATGTAATTCTTGTACCCATGAAATATTGTTTTGCTCCGTACCCTTGTCGTGATTATACTAGGCTATGCCCTCAAAAACCTTACCTCAGACCCCTGTGTTACTTTCTGGGGTCCCCATTTTCCAGAAGCCGTCGGAGGAAACCAGCGCCCGGACCGGGTCAGGCCCTGTGGCCCAACAGGAGCTCGGGACTCTGGTGGAGTTTTGTGGCTTCGGGGTTTGAAGGTCTAAGTCCAGGACTTAGGTCGGTCCCGGGATGTATTCACACATTATGGAGCTTTGCGGTTTTATCGGACTTGGACTTGGCAGGTATGACTTAAATTTCGTAAGGGCTGGTGATAGCAGGTCGGGCTTAGGAGGTTTTAGCTGTCTACTTGGAGGGTCGGGGGACTTAGTAAGCAGGTAGTGAGTAGACTTATAAGTACCCTCAAAGGGGTTATGGTACTTATAAGTCCCTAAAATAACCAGTTACTAAGCCCCCCGACCCTCCAAGTACGGTTGCAGCGCCTAACAGTCCGGGCCGGCGCAAGATGTACTTGGGGGCCCTTTTGACTTAGTAAGTCTACTTAGTATCCCCTAGAACCCCTATTATAATCCCCATAACCCAGCTTACTAACCCTACTTACTAAGTCAAAAGGGCCTCCAAGTAGGAGCCAGCGAGACGATTGAGACGATTTCAGAGTTTGGGCTGAGGATAAACCGTTGGAGTTTTAGGGGCTACATGGGAGTTTCCGAAAATTGGGGGTATCTTATTTTGGGGTCCTTATAATAAGGATCCTACTATTTAGGGTACTATATTAGGGTCCCCTATTTCCGGAAACTCCCACATAGGTTTGGGGCTTCAGGATCGAAGGGAGGTATAGATCGCAAGCTAACAGAGAGTCAGGCCTTGATTCCCAAGATATGTTGTGTTGAGGTTTCAGGCCAGGACGGCTTTCTGCCATGTTTCTGTATAAGGGTGCTACAATAATGGTGACTGCAAAGTTTACCAGAAGCGCTTGACAAGGACAAAGACACAGTAAGTCTTACATCTGGGACCTAGGTTGAACGCACGAATCCGAATTATGAGCCCAAGTGTAGAAAATCAGAAATTGCACAGTCGGCGCAATGTTGGAAACCCATGCGCTTTCGCGTAATATAGGGGCCTAAATGATTACCAACATTGTGGTGGGGGTTCCTTATTATGTGTATAGTATTTTTGTTCAGCTGTATTCTGAGTTGCTATGAGCCCAAACTTCATGTACTTCTTGGTTTCAATTCCGTAGCTCCGAGCCATATACTCAATCAAATCTAGAACCACGAAGCTATGTTCCCCAGCCAGGACGACTGCAAGCACACCAGGGGTTGCCTGATCAGTTTCGAAGCCATACGGAATCCTATACTTTAAAAACTTTCGAAATCCATGAAACCCTCCAGACTCTAGAACCGGATGCCAGAAACCCATACAGCCCGAAATGGCGCCAAACCCTGATCCCTAAACCCTCTAAGTCCCAAATCCTGCCTGGCGCCCGAGGCGTGCTTTGGTGCTCCGCCAGCCTGGCAGCGCGCAGACGACTCTGCGGGCAGCCAAGAGCTGCCTTTTCTTAGGGCTTTAGGGTGTACATGGGAGTTTCGGAAGATTAGGGGTACCTTATTTTGGTTTCCTTAGAATAAGGATCCCATGTTTAGTGCTTAGTGTACTATATTAGCATCCCCTATTTTCGGAAGCTCCCACATAGGTGTAGGACTTAAGGTTCAGGCAGTTTAGGATTTGTGGGGTTTCGGGTTCGCGGGCTTAAGGGCATTGGGGTTTACGGCATCACCCATGCACTATTCGGAAAAGGGCAGCTGCTGCTTGTAAACCCTGAACCCTAAACCCCTAAACCCTAAACCTCTAAACCCCTAAACCCTAAGCCTTACAGTCCCTTATAAACCATCTTCCAGGCCATCAGGTCAGGCCTAGCCGCCTAGCCTTGGGCTACCCAGCGCATGTTAGAGTTCCCGAAATGGGGGTCTTTAAAGAAAACGGATCCATACAATGGGGACCCTTTACTAAAGTGCCCCAGCACATCTGATAACTCATGAAAGCGTCATGATGACAAAACCTTTCGAAATCTTCATAACCAGTTCAAAACCCCACAGAAACCCTGTAGCAAATCAAGCCCGTGTTGAAATCGCAGCCTTAGAGGCCCAACAGTGAAATCTTAGCACAAACGTGCTAGAAAGCCCTTCAAACTCCTTCAGGAAAGCGGATGTCCCAGTGCCACTTAGGCTGCAAAGACCAGCTCCGCGTGCTGCCCCGAAGGCTCTGAGCCTGCTAGGGCCTGGGGGTTCACTTGGAGGCCCTTTTGACTTAGGAAGTAGGGTTAGTAAGGTGGGTTATGGGGATTATAATAGGGTTTCTAGGGGATAGTAAGTAGACTTACTAAGTCAACAGGGCCTCCAAGCAGGGTTTTGGATTTGACTTTGGGGTGTTAGGGCCTGCTGGGCTTTGGAGTTGTCGAGCTTTAGTTTCGGGGTGTTAGGGCTGCTGTTTTGGGGTTTAGTTGTTGCGTTCTTGGGATTTTTCCCTTGACCACGTCAATGTCCCAGTCAAGATGATGGTCAGGTTCACAGCACATTCCATGACGTAAATTTCAACATGTCATGGCTTGCGACCAAGATCGCACGGGCGCCTAACCTAACTGGCTGGGATGATGCTTAAGCTCCGCATGTGGAGGAGTCCGTTGAGATCCTTTGAGGCTTCGCGTAGAGTGAGCCTCCTTGCCCTGTAGACCTGAAACTCTGTATATTGCCGTGACAAAGCCTTGATAGCCGTATCGAACCCATTCAGGAATCGCAGAATCCTGGTCGTATAGGGCTTTAGGGTTTGGGGTTTAGGGTTTCTTTCAAGCCAACGGTCAAGCTCCGCAGTCGAACGAGATGAATTCCGAAAACCTGCGCACATCTTGCGATCCGGCGCCCGGTTGAGGTTTTCTGTTTGTTGATTGGTTGTTGGTTTTAAAATTACGGTTTCTTACGGTATTGTACATGTTTGTCTGGATAGAAGGACCAGTAGGATGTAGCATGTAGCATTAGGAACTCCATCCACAACCCAAAGTCTTGAACGGAAGATTTTACAAAGCAGTTGTAACAGCCAGGCTACTGCGAGCAAGAAGTTTTCCGAGCGAGACCGCGAGGCAGGTGCTTGACATGTGAGGAGTATGTTCGGAGCTTCGAGTTGCGGCATTTGGAATCATGCTTGTGACCAGATTTAGCTCTGTACCCGGAAAGCAGCAAGCCGGAGGGGTGCTCGGAGCTGCTGAAGCAGCTCATGGATGCGCATGACTACACCGGCAACCAGACAGGCGCGACCGAGGGCTCAGGCCTTTGAGATTTTTATGATATACGAAGAGAAGCAAGTCATAGATTTGGTGCACTGAGTAGTACTCATGCCAGCTTTACAGCGTGGTATGTGCAGCAGCGCAGCAATGATGGTGGCAGTGGCCACCCTGGCGCAACTAACCACAGCCAGAAGATCAGCACGAGCACGAACATAAACTAAGGAAGGGGGTCTACGATCTTGGAAGTAAGAGCCGAAATAGTGCATTTTGAGTCTTTGGGCCCTGCAGGCGGATCAGAGAAGTTCAGGCAGCTGGTGAATCAGGCGAGCTGCCGTCATTCAAATATGGGCGTGTCTTTTTGCCTGTGCTCATGCGTATCTTTGAAACTCCGCGACATACCTATGGGAATATGCATCTATGTACAAAGTATTCAAGTGTACTGTACTGCACTGCACTGTCCTGCATTGTACTGTGTCGTAACTGCTCTGCCGAACCGCATTGCACGGCGCGGCACGGCACTGCGGGGGAGCAGGAGGTCAGTGTGGGCCGGATGTAGGGGGTGCTAGGCCAGTGGTGCTGTCTATTCATGCCCTGCCCCGCGCATTCTACAGGCTGGGTAAGGTCTCGTGTTGCGTTCCATGGTTGCCCTAGCCCCCATGACATTGTCTTTGCGTGGTGGTTGCAGTTGTTTGTCCGATTGATACATTTTCATACGACACGAGACACAAGAGTCGCTAGAGGTGCTAGTGAAGCGCTGGTTTTCACCGTTTCTGCCTTTGGTGTGGTTCCTTCGCTCTGCGGTTCCCCTTGGAGTAGAGGCACTGGCTGTCAATGTGGATCATTGCATTCACACCTATCGCCTCGTCTCATATACCCCCCCTCGTGTGGTTTGGGTGGTGGATGATGTTCGGTGTGAGTCGTTTCCGCAGCACTGACAACAACAATCATGCAAATCGTAACAGAACCAGCACGTCCCTGCGAAGTATTGACATACTTGCATTGTGGCGACGATTTTGCCTCCGAAAACAACGGCGATCGCACCCCAACGGGCTCGATCCAACATCGCAGACAGCCCTGCAAAAGTATGTTTTGCATCATCAGCATAGATGCAAGTGACTGTCTGTCACGATGCATTCGTCTAAGCTCAAAGATGCCTCTATTTGTATGCATGCATGTCTGTGTCTGCTTGAGATGCTTGCATCCCGTTGGCGCCGATGAATTTTCGAACACGGAAATATGCATCTACTCAGTTCTGCACACATAGATACATATACATATATGTAAATGCAGCAAGCGATGACCGGAATAATAATGGCGGTAATCATAAACATTCAATGCTACTAGCACCAGCATCATCGACAGTAACTGTAATTCTGAAATCATAATCCTGAAATATCCTGAACATGTTTATAGTCATGCATACAAAGATGGTACCGATATCAGTAATAAGAACTGTTTGTACGAGTATTGTTTGCACTAACCATATTGCCAGTAATATGAACATAAAATGGCACGTATACACACACACACTCTCTCTCTCTCTATATATATATATAGGTATATATAGGTATATATATATATATATATACATATATATACTTACTTATTTATTCAAAAAGGAAAATACGCATGTATATGTACTGTCTTTAGAATGTTGTGTATGTTTGCATATGCATAAGCATAAAAGGTAAACACATGCAGATGAATCTATATGCATATGTATGCACATATGTTTGCAAACAACAAGTGTATGTATATATATATATATATATATATATATATGCATATAGAGAGAGATAAATATATTTACATATGTACATCATGTACACATCTGATTGCATACACACATATGCATGCGTGCATGTGTGTATGTGTGTAGGATGTATTTGTTTGTGTATGTAATTAGCTACGTATGTATGTATGTATGTATGTATGCACGTATGTGCGTGCATGCGTATGCGTATGCAGGGGTGTTTCTGCATTACATTCAATGTGCGCAGGCTTTTATGCATCGTGCTTACTAGTACACACACACATATCACGCGAGCATTTGGCGTGCATGCAGTTTGTCTCTGTGGGCATCTACGCATGCAAGTTCGAGTGTATGCATGGTTGTGCATGTGTGCAAGCACGTATGCACGTGTGTACACATGAACCTAGTTGTTGAAGTTATGAGAGCACTTATGCAAGAGTTTCTTTAATGTGTGTATTCTAAACGGTGTCTATACAAGCCAATGTGTGGATTGCAAAAAAAGCTGAAGCCCAAACCTCTAAACATTGGAGCTACTAACCCTAAAACCCTAAACCCCCAAACCCTTAACAACTATCAACCCTAAACCCTAAACCCTCCTTAACCCCAAAACGCGAACAGAACCCTGCCCTCGACACCCACCTGGGGCTCGACAGGCGAAACAGCTCGCCCCGGTGGCTAAGCGCCATATCCTCGAAGAGGCCGGTGCAGATTTTCAGGGTTTGGAGTCATCTGTCTGGTTCTTAGTAGGGAACTGGGAAATGGATTATGGAGGCTATTATTGGGGATGATATAGGAACTACTGTAGGGATCCATTCCCGCATTCCCTACTAAGCACCAGACAGTTCTGGGTTTACAGTTTGGTGTTTAGGGTGGCTTAGGGTTTAGGGTCTGGGTGAAGCAAAGTATTTCGGGGGTACAGGGTTCATCGCAGCATTTTATCTTAGCGGTCAGAGCCGGCAGGGCTCGGCACTGAGGGTTTAGATGGTTTAGAGCTTACCCAAAGGCCCCAAAGTAGTTCCTTTTTGGGGGTTCATATATAGAATCCTATAAGGTAATCCCAAAAAGGAACTACTTTGGGGCCTCTGGGTAGGGTGTACCATGGTTGTACTTCTTGGTGCCAGTCTCTTGCGGTGGCGGTGGGTGGCTTGGGAGCGCGTGGTGTAGCTTAGGTACGGCCCCCATACAGTAAGAGTCCATAATAGGGCTACGATTAAGGTCCTATTATATCTGTATTATGAATATTACTCACCTATTACTGAGTGGGGGCCGTACTCAAAGTGTAGCCTGCCATAGCCTGCCCAGAGAGCCCAATACCCCTTAATTGAGGAATATAGCTTAAATCATAATAGGAGGCCCCTTATAATTTAAGCCGTATTCCTTAATTAAGGGGTATTGGACTCTTTGGGTGCCCGCAGGTGCCACAGAAGTACTATCTCGCAAGCACGCCGGGGCGCGGCACTGAGCAAGACTTGCCTTTGCTTAGTAGGGAATGGAACAATGGTAGTAGTAGTGATAATATAATTGTTAGGGTTTAGGGTTTAGGGTTACTTACCCTAGGTTAGTAGGGAATGGAAGAATGGTAGTAATAGTAGTTATAACTGTACCCCATTCCTCCATTCACTACTAAGCAAAGGTTCCTAAAGAAGAACCATATCGCGTGCTTGTTGCCTACCATTGGCTGTCAGGTCTACAGTGTATCACATAGCCTGAGTAATTACCAACACAATTCCTCTAGGGTTCCGATTACCATCGTTAGTTATTGTATAGTATACCCCAGAACCCTATGCTAATTGTTAAGGGGCATATATCAGCTTCCTTGGGCTGCGAGGAGGCATCGTCAGCGTCTGGCCCAGATCATTGCGGAGTGGAAGGCCGCTCGTCTTTCTTGGTCCGCACGTGCAAGCCTTGAAATCCTTAAATTCCCAAAACCCTCAACCCCCCTCAATTCCCTAAACCCCTAACCCCTAAATCTAAATCCTGAAAGGCCCCAAACCCCTGAAGCAAAGGCTGAGGGGCTTTGATGTTGTGACGGCTCGGAAGCACTTCGGCAATGAGAGCCACGAGCAAGGCAGGCAGCGAATTACTATGAATTACTGCTCTGGCAAAGCCAGCCGCCGCCTGGAGCTGTGACAGTTTTTCGCCTGCTTTCTGCGATAATTCGTCGTGGGCCACACCAGCCCTTGCTGCCAATTCGGGGGATGTCTCGTGGGGAAGATGAGGCAAGCGGAGAAAGGAAGCCTGCTGACCGTGCAACACCATCGGTGAAGGCATAACAAACACAGCTGCACCCTGCTCGTGGAATACGCCCAAGACTTGGCTGAGCGGAGGATACCAGATACCAGAAATGTTTCTAAAAACTGCTGCTTTGTTTGCCGTCGGAAGGGTAAGTTGGAGCAACGTGAATGTGCTGCGCAGGTGCTTCACGGCAGCTGCTTCGACCGAAAGTCTGCCTGTCCAGCTTTTCCGAATTCTGTGATTCCGGTGTTTTTTGTTAATCAGACGGGAGCTTTGTGCTTGCAGAAGGGCCGGTTGAAGACGGGCCGTGAGCAAAGAGCTTTCTGCGCAGCGGAGGGTGTCTGATGTAGGCTCTGAATACGCTGAGAAGTCGCCAGCTTGCAATCGCATCGATCAAGCCGCCCCTAAACCCTAAACCCTAAACCCTACACCCTAAACCCTAAACCCTAAACCCTAAACCCCAAGTCGTTGGGAGGGGAGGATCCCAAGACTCCATGCTGATCTCTTGAAGGCATGCAGCACAGATGAGCGGGGTCGATAATCTATGGAATGCTCATGACGAAAGAACCCTAAAGCCCCCAACCCTAACTCAAATACTAAACTCAACGATCTTTGACGCCTGAGCTGGAGTCGATGGAGACGGCTGTTGGGGCTCCTGGCAGCCATGGAAAGCACGATCTTCGCTTCCCACGGCTGGATGCTGACGCCACGGCTGCCGGCAGCCTCCCGGACGCTGGGCTACTTTGAGTGTCTGTCTCTCGACATCTGCACACCCTTGAAAGTAAAGCTAGAACCAAAATGGAGAGAGTGGGTAATAACCTTTGAGTGTCTGTCTGTCTGTCCGTCTATCTGCCTATCCCTCTATTATCTCTGCTTGTCTGTCTATCTCTTTTTATGATGGAACCCTAAACCCTAAACCCTAAATGGGTTCTATAACTCGGTCTGGCGGGCTGTCCGTCTGCTAGGGAGCCTTTTTGCAGAAACCACTTCCAGGAGGACGCTTCAGCATGTACGACACATTAATGGAACATCCCTGTTCCATAATGCACAGAAGCATATATA